CGTGAGCAAAGGTCGAGGCCGCTGGCGGCCAAGGCCGGGAGAAGACTGAGGACAACGCCAACGGCCCGACGGACTCCAGACCCTCGGGGACAGGCCGCCTTCGCCCTGGCCAACGACTCCGACTCGTTCGCCTACTGAGCAGGCCCGCCCTGAACGGGTCCGAAGGGGCGCTCGGCGAAGCGGGTCATGCCAAGGGCCCATTCGAAGTCAACTTGGCCAAAGCCACCGTTTGCGTCAAGAGGACCAGCTCGAGCTTGCTGAGCGCTCGCAGAGGATGCTTTTCCAGGATTTTTCTCGCGAGTCTTACATGTATAAATACTTCAATTTATCCGCCAACGACCACATCGTCTACTAGCTGTGGGAAAGCGGCAACAAGTGCGGCGGCATCGAGCAGCTGCTCTCCAGCATGGCCATCAGCTAGGCCTTCTTCGATGGCACGAAAACCGCGCAGCTGTCAACACTGGTGGTGGACCGCCATGCACAACGGCCGGAGGCTGGGGACTCCTGAGTGACCGCCTTTGGGACTCCTGAGTGACCGCCTTCGCCGCCCAGCCACCCAGCAAACGCAGGCTCGAATACAACGGGTTAGACCACCGTGCCGCATTCTAGTTCTTCACTTGGCACTGCCCACGCGCGCGCCCACTTGTCACGGACAGGGGCGCGAAGACGATGCTCGTTCCTCTAACCGCGCGCGAAGACAACCGCGCGCCCCGTCTGGGCGCCTTTCGGAAGAAGCAACGCACCTGTCTGAACACTGTTTTTGCCGCGCCCGTCTGCGTGCGCCGACGATGGGGCTGAACATTCCCTTCCCCCTTCTCGTCTTCATATTTCATGTGCTCTCCTTCTCTGCCACTCCTCCAGCCGCCACCCACTGCCGCGACAGCTTGTCGCCCTGCCCCGCTGGCATGCGGGGTTACGGTGCTAAGCCCGAAGAGAACTACCAAGAAGCACCGCTGGACCCACGACAGCGTGCGTTTGCGCGCTTGCATTGCTGGGGGCCCGTGGAGGGTACTGGGTTGATTTTCGAAATTCCAACACGCGGCGCCACACCAGCGCCAGGACGATCCAGACGTCCCAACTTGAAGGGGCCTCCAGGCCACTTCGCCAAGGGGCGAGTGACCGATCCCACAGGCGCGGCCGCTGCACCTCGACATTTTGCTCGTCCTTACCCACCAGCAGGTCTCCGCACCTACTTCCCCCGTTTCACCGCCAACTGGCCTCAGCCTTGTCCCGTCGCCAGTTGGAGCGACCAAGCTCCATGATGATTACAGGATGAAGATGGCTCGTCTCACAGCCAGACAGCACAGTCCGCTCGTCTCGCAACCACGCCTGGCTCGGAA